AGACTTTGTTGGCGTTAATGTTGCTCAGCATGACTCTAGCTATGTAAGGATGATGTCCTAAAATTGTGATTCTAGCGAGGCTGGTTTCCATAAATCTGAGTACGTCTGAAAGAAGACCCACCACCTGACTGGTGACTGGACTGAGCTGGTGCTAATGACTCCTTATTATAGGAATACCTTCCACCTCCACTGGATGTACCATTAAACCTACCCGCTATCCGGGCTTTCTTGTTATGCTCTTTTTCTTCTCTCCTTTGTTGTCTGTCTTTTTATAAGTGCTTGGTAAATCCTACAATAGAGGAGAAGGATGTCATCCCTACCGCTGCAGCTGATGTCGTATCCTTAATTTGGTAAGCTAAACCTCTAAAAAACCTGCGAATCTTTGCTTTTTCTGTCTTAACCATGTGAGAAGCATGCTTAGCTAACTTTATGAATTTCATGTAGTACTCTTGCACACTTTTATTCCCTTGCTTGAGCTGTTCGAATTCTGTAGCCTTAGCTTCCTTATCCTCTTTCGGGGTAAATTTAGCCATGAAGGCCTCTTCAAATTCTTCCCAAGTAGGTGGACCATCATCTTCATCTCTTTCCTTTTCCCACATCTCAAATCAAGTGTTGGCCACATCTATAAGCTGGTAAGCAGCCATCTCCACAACTTCATCATCAAATGCCTTTATCGCTCGGAGGGCTTTCTTGACACCCTCCAGCCACAACATTGGATCTTCTTTAACTATGGAACCATGGAACACTGAAGGACTTAACTTCAAAAATTCATTTACTCTTGAGGACTCAGAATTGTTCTGTCTATTTGATTGAGGTGGAATCTCATCTCTTCTCTCGTTCTAGTTGGCCATGAAGGCTTTAAACATCTCCATAGCACTGTTGACTGCAGTAAACATCTGACTCATCTCCGGAGATATAGTTGTCTGAGCTGGAGCTGCTGTTGGGGGCGGCACTGGATCTTGAGGTACTGGATCATCATGCTCCACCCCTTCGTCATGTTCAACCCGGGGTACTTGAAGCCCACTTGTGGATTTACCCTTCCTTTTCTGAGTTGGAGCCTTTTTAGTTCTACCTTGAGCCACAATAGTAGCAATAGTTTCTTGAGCAGCATCCTGAGTGTCGGTGTCAAAGTTGCGAGTACGAGCCATTTCTGCGAGTTTTGGAGAAACGAATACATTAGATAATTTCTTAGAGGTAGGCTCTACTGCACAATCTAAAGTATGAAAAAATGAGACTTTTCCTAAATGCTTGTAGCCTCCTGTTTATAAGTATAGCGCGCTTCATACCCATAAACAAAACTCTACTAACACGACTTCATAGACCCCTAGGACTCCATAAACTTGAGGCTCTGATACCAAGTTTGTCACGACCCATTTTCTGAACAAGTCGGGACCGGAACCCAATCACTAAACATGACCGAGCGAACTATCTGCGCTTATCAAATCTATTATAACTTCAAACTTTATATGCCACAAGACACTATTGTAACAAAATACCTTTAAATAATTTAAATATCTAAAAAAAGCCAACTTCAAAACTTTATTTAGTAACCAATAAAATACTGCTAAGTTGTTATAAAAAACATCTGAATCTTAATCCACCGACTGTGTCTATGAAGCCTCTACTGATAAACTGACGCACTGCTCAAGACATGAAATTTCCTGGCCGGTTCTCTAAGTAAACAAAGAAATAGCTAAATAAAGATGACTCTAAGGAATACTTCACGAACAAAAGCGGAGCTCACCAATAGCACTGGAAGGGAGGGAAGTCCTAAACTGTAGCATGTTCGCTTGCAAAAACGGTTCCTACGTTGTACCGCAGACAAACATATGTTCCCAAAAGAGAATGTCAGTACCATCCATTATACTCAGTGAGTCTCAACGACATGGGACGAAATTTTAATACAATACACATTACGAGAAAAGAATCTAAATGCATAGAAAACATAAAGCCTCTAAGAACAATTCTAAAATAATTGCATAATAGCAGTTTATGAATATTCTAAAAGAAATTTTTTCTTTTTCTAAAAAAAATTACTTCTCATTATACTTTGGGAGTTCCAACTATCCTGACTTAATTCTGTCTCAGTCACCGTGTGATCGGCATGGGTTCAATCCCAACCTGATCGAATAGGCCCAATCCACGAGGTGCCACTCGCTTCATGATTCTCAGCGCTTATGTATCATACCTTAGCATGACTAAGTAAATTCTCAGCAACGAGACCCTCGGCTCGTGTGCTCCCTACTTTGGCACAAGTAGTTTCAGGAAGTCAACGCCTTGGTCAGGACCCTCGGCCTGAACGATGACCCCTTCTCAGAATAAAGGATACTCCCAAAAATCTTTTCTTTATAAAACTTCTTCTTGTGACTTTTCAAGTCTAAATCTTTTCTTTTTGGAACATCATGTACATGCTCATGCTTGTATCTTTAAATGTAAAGCATGACATAAGAATGAAATAAATATCTAAAAGTATTTCTAAAGATTCTTGCTTCTTCATAAATTTTAAACATGAAAGTAGCATATAAGAATAACACAAAAATCTGAATTTTTTTGCACATATATCATAATAAATCATCTAAACTTTTGCTAGAACAATTCTAAGTTAATAGGTACTCACTCATTCCAATTAAGTAAATATAAACTCTTTTAAGCAATTTATCAAACATCTTGTATGCGTGCTTTTGTGAGTTAAACCACTTTAGTAAAGGGTACCCGTCAAATAATTGATTCTATAACAACTAGTGCATTTTAATGAATTTTAAAGTTTCACACCTAAACATGAAATTTACTGTTGATATAGAGGAAGAAGGAAATTAAATATTCTATTTTTACCTACTACTACTTTAAGATAATTGACAATAGGAAATTTTATATATTTGAGTTCTTAGTGGTTTGTAAAGAACCCTAGGATTTTTCGTTGCCTGCATGAGTAAGTAGCTCTGTTTCGTGACTCTCTGTTTCGTAAGCAACAGAACTAGCGTTCTGTTTTTCGTCCAAGGCTTTGGCTTTTTTCCTTTTACGTGAATGCCAGTGCTTTCTTAAGGCTTGAAGCCTTTGTTTTCCAACAGCTTATTTTATGGGCTTTAGGCCNTATTAATATTTATCTAATTGTATATCCAATTATTTAAGTGTGTGTGAGTATATATATATATAGGCAAGAAAAATAATAATAATAATTTAATTCAATAATTATCATGTCTCGAAACTTTTATAAATTTGAGGAGTGTTACAAATATAAAAATAATTATTTAAATAAAGGTATTTTTATAATATACATTATATATTCTTGAAAATTATGCTCAATTATATTATTATGTTTCTACCAACTTTTTGACGATACAAAGTTATATCACCGAAAAGCAGGAGACTATATGTATAGAGTAAATATGCTATGTTAAGTCGTGCATGGATTATATATATAATATAATTGAGCATAATTTTCAATAATATATAATGTACGTTATAAAATACCTTTATTTAAATAATTACTTTTTATATTATGTGCATGAAATATATATGTTACAACTTTTATTTTTTTTCATTCTGAATTATGTAAATAAATTTTTGAATTTTTGTTGTTAATACTAAAATTATTTTTTACTAACAAATTATTCTAATTAATTTTTTTACTATGTTCATTATTTTGTTATTCCAGCATTACATATGCTTAAATACTTTTTATTTTTTTTTAATTTATAAATAATATTTATTTATTCTATAGGTAAGTCCATATTGTAAATTAAAAAGGAAAAAAAATCATAATATTAAAAAGTTTTAAAAAAATAAAAAGAAGATAAATGTTTATAATTCTGAGGGTAAAATAGGTACTTGGCAATCCAAAATTTGGAAAATCTAGTCGAGTGACCTTCTGAGTTCAAAAGGCATAGTTCAGTGACTTTGTTGTTACAAGCGAAAAAAGTGACTTTAGGAGATAATTTGGGATAGTGAGTGACCATTTGAGTAATAGACTCGCTAAAAGTGATAATATCTTTAGAAACTTTATTTTCCTTTTCTTTTCTAATAAAGACAACACACAAAAAATGAAAGCATTGGAGTAATGATAAAATTATCTCGGTAAGACTTATAGGTCACTGATTGAGCCGTAGAAACAACAATTAATACTCGAAATAAGCTGTCTATGGCATTATCCCTTAAGGTACCGCTTTGCCCGATGGCACACATCACTCACATACTTTCTAGCGCGTGGATGATTATTACCAATCTTTTGCCCTTCTACTACATGATGAAGATTCAGACAACAATAGCCTCCTCGAAATTTCATATTTCAATGAATTCAACGGTCTGCCTTCACTCTCCTACTTTAGTCTTCCTTCCGCGGCTTCTTTTCACATCTCCATCATTTTCTACCCTTTTTTTTGTGGAGCTCAAGCATTACCCATGATCTTCATACAAATCATGATTACCTAGATGAATAAGTGTAGTTAAATTCTTTTTTAGTTAAAATTTATAAACTAATATCTGAAATATATTTTTACAATTATACCGCTTAAAATATAAAATAACAATAATTATGCCTTAATCTCAACTAATTTAAGATCGAATATATGAAGCCTAATTAGTACCATTTTTCTTATATAAAGATAAAGATCCTAAATTATAAGTGTGTATAATTATTATATGAGTTAGTACTCTAAAGTAGGACAGTAACTTTCTGAAATCAGTCAAATTACCATGTTAAACAATCAATCGATAACACTTAAATTTATACTTTTTCTCTCATTTGACTTTCATAACAAATTAGATTACGGTCAATAGTGTTTTCTAAAGTAAATTCACCACAAAGTAAGCAAGTAAATGATGCAAATTATTATGGTACGAGTATATGTATATTAGGCTTGGCAAAATAATTTAAGTTTGACCATTCATAAATTACCAAGGTATAGAAATTAGAGAACGAAAAGTCTACTATAATTCACAGCCAAAAGTAAACATATCTCATACAATATTATTATAATGGACCTCTTGTTCCTCTTCCTTAATCACTTCGGCAAGAATACAAAAACCATCCAACAAAAACTATCTTTTCTCCTCTTATAAGTAACATCACTACAATTATTTATTCTTCTATATTTGATCTCCCCTTTGCTTAATTAAATCCATATTCCTCTTCAACTTTACATCTACCATCATTAACAAAGTTTAACACTAATGGAATTATTCTACAAAGCCAAGGCTGTAAGATTGAGAAGTCATCTGGACTAATACCTAGTAGCACACGATGATCAACAAAACATCCGACAAAGCCGAAACGGTTCATCAAGAAAAGCACGGTGGCTGATTGAGCTTGTCGACGCCGGAAACAGCCGCTTTATCCGGCTGAAAACTACCTCCGGCAAGTATCTCACGGCTTCCGACGAGCCGTTTCTTCTTGGCATGACAGGAAAAAAGGTACTTATTCTGTCCTAATTTATGTGATAAGTATTTGGTTATAATTTAACTCTAACCTTTCTATTTTAATAAAAATTTCTATAGCTTATCTTATAACTCTAATTTCATATATTTCTCATTCTTAAACTTCATGCCATCACGTAAAATGGGATAGATAGATTATGTTTATGCCACCTCTAACCTAAAAAATCAATTATGTTTTCAATATTTTTATTACTTAATTATGTATCTATTCATGTATTCTCCTAATTTATTTTCTTGAGTCAAGCACGTGAAAGTCTTTATAATTAGTAATTGTAGAAGTCAAACCTAGGCTATTTGTGCTTACACCATATTTTTAATTGTCCGATCATTTTATCTAAAACTTAAAATAATAGAGAAAATATTTTTTATTTATTTAATTATATTTTTAACAGGTGCTTCAAACTTTGCCGGAAAAAATGAAGGAGACGAGAGTTGAGTGGGAACCAATAAGAGATGGATTTCAAGTGAAATTAAGGGGTTTTGGAGGAAATTATTTACGTGCAAATGGAGGGACACCACCATGGAGAAATACAGTGACACATGATAGTCCATATAGTGGTAGCACACAAAATTGGATTTTGTGGAACGTGGAACCTGTTGATGTACCGGAAAATGAGTCGTTGACCGATTATTTAACGATGGTTTCGAGTTTTTCATCGGTTTCCGATGAACTTTCAAGTTTGGATTTGGGATCTCCGATGTCGATTCATTCAAGTTTTTCTTTCTCTCCTAGGATGGCTAAGGTATGTTTCTTAATTATGTCAACTTATGATTTTTCGTCTCTAGTTTGTTTTTTTATAACTTATTCACTAATTATGATTAGAATTGGACATATACTACATATTTCGTAGTCATGTTATACGGATTAGCTAATTTTGGTGAATAATTACAGTAATCATTTATTGCCTTTGCCTGGTAGGAAAAAGTCCTTTTTATTTTCTTACGTGGCTGGGACACGTAATGTACGTGGCTTGAATATATATGAATATGAAACCTTAGTATTACAGTAAAACAGGGTGCGGTGTAGTCATTAACAGGAGCAAAAATCAATTTTAATCAGCTTACTAGCTTTTTAATGGGGTATGGGGATTCTTACTTTTATATTAAACTTGTTTCTTCGATATATATACTTGTAACTAAGTCCATATAATTTGACATATACCCTCCTAGCATGTGCTTTGTGGAGAAATAATCTTATATCAACAGTTACAATTTGAATAGAAAAACATAATCTTACAAAGATCTCTTACATTTTATTTATTATTTCCTATTTATCGATCTCTTATGAAAACTAAATCTCCAGAAATTTCTCTGTTTCATGTCCATACTCCATAATCAAGTGGAAATAATCTTCACTACGTAAGAAGAAACTAGAGAGAAAGAGGTAACTAAAAGAGACAGAAAAAGAGAGTTGAAAGAGAATGAATGTGAAGTACGACAACTCCAAGGATGTGTTACATGAATTGATAACTTGTTAACTAAGGGTCAAATAAAGGATATATGACTCTTTTGTTCTTCTTAGCTCAATTGAAAGCTTTGAGAAAAGTCGTTAATATCACCAGTTTAGTTTGGAGTCTTATCCCAAACAACCATGGGGGAATACACGACAACTGACCAATTTAACTTGGGCACGCCCATTAAGAAAATATTAAATTTTAGACAAAAATAGTTAGTGTGACTAAACTACCCTTAATTTAATATTGCAGCATAATTTAATATGAGGAGTAAAAGACTTCTTAGGGATACTTACATAAGGGTTTATTATATAAATGAACACTTATTTTGAACCAAAATAAAAAGATAATTGGTCACTTATTTTGGATCGGAGAAAGTAATTAAAGATATACCAACCGTGTGGATCAAAGGAAAAGAAAAACATTCCCCTACTCAATTTCAAACTGCAATGGCCATAGATTTCAGCTGAAAGAATGATAGTTTTGCTTGTGATTTTTTTTTTTTTTTAAACTTTTTTTTTTCTTTTGGCAATAGCTTGTTTTATTAAGCCTTTCGGACAGTTTCGAAAAGCAAAAATTTTGAATAAGAAATTTATTGAAAAGGATAGAAAATTGGCCTCCTTTTTTTGCCTTATGGGGGTAAAAACAGATTCGAGAAATCGCACCATCATATATTCTAATTAGGTTGGAATATTAAAGAATAAGAATAACAGACACACTACCTAGCTATGGGATTATTGATTACCCTCTTTTTCCCTACTTTCTTAATTCCAATAATTCTTACTAGAATAACCAAAAAGGTAGTTAAGTATCCGTCTAGGTATCTTCATAAGAATTTCTGAAGCTAACTTTTTCTTCACATAGTATAAGATGCAAACGTGTGATATAGGTCCATCTTTAGATTAATTCAATTCAAACCAGACCATTTAGGTCAAACTTCTGAATATGTTGCCACAGTTAATCCAAACGATTATATTTTCTTTAACCATTTTATATGATATTATTTTCTTACTTTAGAAAGAATAATGCACGTTTAATAATAGCATACTTTATCATTATTGAAATATTAGAATGTTAAATATCATAAAGTTGAAAGATTTTGCTGTTTTAAATTTTGCCACATAAACTAAAATAAAGAGAGTATCCAGAACCTTCCAATGTCCAAACTTCTCTTTTTGTAAAATTCTTTTTTCAACTCCGAGAGCTCAAAATTATGCACTATTTTACTCTGACATCCATATTTATTTATTTTAAAACATAAAACTATACATCTTTAGAACAGATATGAATTCTACACATTTACGGTACTTAACTTTTAGTTGTCAATTTTGGACTTTTTACGTCCCTTAAAAAATAATAAATAAAGTGTATAATTTACCATGATACGCATATTAATTGATGTATAGTCTTAATGAATTTAAAAATAATTTGAAATGAGTAATTAATGCTAAGGGTAAAATAAGAAAAATTAATTATTTTTCTCTTGATATGCAAAGTTACAAGTAAAAATAAAAATTTATTTTTAAAATACTTGACAAGGACGGAAAAAACTTACTATTTTTGTAGTCACCAATCACTATAATTATAAACAACCATTTGTACTCGTATATTCGTTGGTAGAAATTTGAAATATTTTAAGTTATTATAAATACGGAAAGTAATGTTTTATTTTCTGTTCCTTTTTTTTCTGGATTTTATTTTTGCTGTTCCTTATTCCAATTTTGACCATCTCTAAAAATAGAAACTTGAATCGGTGAAAGAAAAAATCCAAAATAAAGCCTAGATTTTCTCACGTGTTAACGTTGGACGCGGTTTGTTCCTTAAACCGTGTCAAGCCAGACATGACTGGCCCCTGATGCCCACTGTCATCATTATTACATAGAAATTTTCTATCACCAGTCTTTATCACTTCCTAATATATTAGTAAATATTTTTCAATCCCAATGTCACCATTTTCCTAATCAACTATCAATATTGAAACAACAATTTTCATTTCTCTTTCTTTCTTTGTTTTCACAGAGGAGTCCTCTAACAAAAAGACCAGCAATGGAGCTTTTCCACAAAGCAAAAGCCGTTCGTTTACAAAGTCACCACGACAAATACTTAACAGCCGATGAAGATGAAGAATCAGTACTCCAAGATCGTAACGGCTCTTCAAAAAACGCAAAATGGACAGTCGAATTCGTCGAAAAAACCGACAACGTTATACGCTTAAAAAGTTGCTACGGAAAATATCTTACAGCGTCAAATCAGCCATTTCTTTTAGGTATGACTGGTCGGAAAGTTTTACAAACTGTTCCAAATAGGCTTGATTCTTCAATTGAATGGGAACCCATTAGAGAAGGACATCAAGTGAAGCTAAGGACAAGGTACGGACAGTTTTTGAGAGGTAATGGTGGACTTCCACCGTGGAGAAATTCAGTGACACATGATATACCACATCGGACTAAAACTCAAGATTGGATTCTTTGGGATGTTCATGTTGTTGAGATTTTGGTTCATCATTCTCCTGTTCCTAAGCCACCGACGCCGTTGGTTCAACATTCGGATTCTTTTGCTTCTGAATCTAGTTCTCCTACTGGTTCCTCAAAATCCCTCAGCTTTTCTAGACAAGAGGTAATTTCCAACTTTTGACCTTGAAGTTCAATGATTATTATTATATTTTGGGGTAAAGATACAAATTTAACCTTATTCTATACAAAATATCTTGATTTTACTCTCCATTATAGTTTGAGGTATTTATATTTTTGTTATTAGCAATAGTCTAGTAATTGACATTTACTTTTAAAGGAGCTCCTGTTCGGACTGAGTTAATTTTACATGTCAAAATGCTCCTCTACTTTTGATTATAGTTTAAAATTACCTTAATGTTATACTGTTGGAGCTTTGTTAGGGTCAAAGGCAAATATTTGCTAGCCAAGTATGAATAATTCCAAAATATAACGGAGAGTAAAAATAAGATATTTTGTTCATTTAAGGAGTATTGTTGACCCTTTTTAGCTTTTATGGTGGTAATGTTCTAGTCAGCTTACTTTACTTTCAGGCTACATGTTACAGTCTACAAGTATAGGTGTCGGGCAAACTTGTTAATCTGGGATGTGAATTCAATGATTTCTAAGTTATGGTACTTAACTTCTTCTTTTTTTCTTTTTCTTTTTGCAGTCAAGTGATTCTTTGGTTTGTTCGCCGCCTAAATTGGGAGATGGAAGGCTTATATATTATCATATTGCGGATGAATTTGGTGAAATTGAAGACGGAATGGAGGGACTTAGCATAGCTTTCAAGGGAAATAGTGTTGAGGAGCTAACGAAGAGATTGACGGAGGAAACGGGGCTTGAGGGAATTACTGTGTGTACTCGGAGTCCTTTAAATGGGAATCTTTATCCTCTTCGTTTGCAGCTTCCTCCCAACAATGCAACTATGAATGTTATTATTATGCCATCTTCATATAAAGGTGAGACTTTTACTTGTCTTGAATTGGCTTAATTTCGTGGATGTTTGAATTTTTAGGTTCATGATTTTGTTTTTGGTTCAGAATAATCTATAATGTTCATAGAGGTTCTTTTACATGGAGTCTGTAGCCAAATGAAAAACATTGTTGTGGGAAACAACCTCTTGCAAAGATGCAGAGTAAGACTGCGTACAATAGATCCTTGTGGTCCAGCCCTTCCCCGAACCTTGCGCAGAGTCAGAGCTTAGTGCACCGGGCTCCCTTCTTTTTTTTTTTTACTAATAGTTCATTGACCAGTCATCTATGCCTTTGTTCTTGAGTAAAAGCATCAGCATTTCAGCCCTTGATTTCCTTCAAACCAATGTCACCTAGACAATTAAGGAATTTACAACAAAACTTGTGATAAGCTCAATCTGTTATATCAGTGTTGGGCTGTTAATTGATGTTGTCAAAGCTTACTTTGAGAGTATTGCTCGTGTTATGTGGCCAACTAATATTGTAAAAAGTAGTTACACTGTCAGTGTATATAAGTTAAATTCTATTGTTATTAACAACAATATCATCCTTTAGGAGTCTTTTTGCTCGTACGGCTATGTTTAAGTTCATATACCTTCAACTTGAATCCAATACCCTTGTGAAGCTAATTTTACTGGTGTCGAAGCCTCACGGGTATCATAGAATTACCTTAGGTACCATATGAATAGGCCCGTGAAAACCCCTGTGTAGCTTCTTCTGATTCCTCCCATTGAGTCGGTCTTAGAGCTAGTAGATCAGATTGAATGAGGGATGGAAGGATGTTCGGTATTCGAATTATCTGCAGGGCTACACGACAGAATTAAAGTGGCTGGAGCTCCTCTCCTTACAGTCAAGTGGCTTTCCCATCAGCTCGTTCTTCACTAGGCATCTAGGCGAACCTGTCGGGTTAATTAACTCAACCTAAAGAAAGCTCATTAGGTTGTCTGGGGGCACTTCTGTTTTCACTCTTTAGTTCAATCTTTTATAGTGCCTGTACAAGTTACTAGTTGAATCCGTCTTTGGCCATCTATTTATTTTGATTCTGTATAGTCAGCTGATTACATTCTCATTGGTGTTCTTGCTAACATTTTAACCCTTGCTCGGTGTATCAGAGGCAAGAGATTCTGAAAAACCAAGAATGCCATTGTAGGCCAACTCCGAGAGGGCTACATGGACTGATGCAGTAGATGGATGTGGCTGGATTTTTGCATCAATGAGATGAATGTAGTCTTATGTCTTTCCCTTGTTTATAAAGCATTTGTATATAAGGTTTTGAGTCTGAGAAAGAGACAGAGATGATAGTTACTAGACTAGCTGCTTTGGATCATTGGATGTTAATCGCATACTATTGCACGGAATAATGAAAATGAAAATGAAGGAGATCTGGTGGTTGAAGAGAAGTGCTTGGATCTTTTGTTCCATTTCCTGAAGAGGAGCCTTGGAGCAACGTGTTTGAGCTGTCGAAGTAGTCACTAATGCTTGCATTAGGTTAGTCTATCTATATCGTACTTCCCGGACCCTTCGTTAATACGGAATGCTTTGTGTACCGGCTTATCATTTGTTCCGAAAGAGATTTCTTGAACTGATTTTTGTGGCAAGAAGTTCCTTTTGTTGTTGTGGTCTTTAGCAACTACAGTTTGTTGTAAATTATTATTAATTTGAGCATTATTGAGAACGAGGTGCATCACTTTCTCCATTTTTCTATTGAAAGAGGCATGGAAGTCGTACTTTTTGTTTTATTCTAACGGAGAAATAAAGGCTGGAAAAAGCATTTTACCTAACATTGACTGGTGTCATACTCTAGGCTCAACAACCACAGCTCATAAAAGCAATAGTGCACACAACTAGCTGAGTATCTTTTACTATATGATAAAAAGTTGGTACGAACGGTAGACAATAAAAATAAAATCAAGATCGAAAATATTATAACAATCGTAGTATTTTATTTTGAATATTTGAGTGTTATAATTTCTATGAATCCTTTGATTCTTCTTTTCAATAGTAAATAAATTCAAAGGCCTTTGAGCTTGATCTTGAATCTATATTTGTTTCCACGAACGATGATCTTGTTCTTGAGTTTGATTGCTTGAACTTGATCTTGATTCGTTTTTGAGCTTGAACTTAATTTGTTCTTGAGCTTGAACTTGATTTGTTCTTCATTCTTGAGCTTGAACTTGATTTCTTGAAACTGAACTTGAAGCTTGAAACTTGTGGAGGAATTTGCAGCGTTTGATCCACGAGCTCTTTCTTGCTTCTTGTTATAACTTCTGGTGTCTTTTCTGATTTATGAAGACCCCTATTTATAGTTGTGGAATGGAAGAGTTGTGATAAGAACAAACTCTTTCCGACCAATCAAATTGAAGTGTGACATGGCTGCATTTGATTGGTCAGAACATGTCACTTGCACACGTGACGCGGTTTCATTGGCCTTTTAGCGTGACTGGACATGCCTTGTCATTTTAACACGTGGCGTAATCCCATTGGCTCTTCCGTTTGACTTGGCATGCCACGTCATTTGACACGTGGCACCAAACTGGACCTCTAGGAAGATGACATCTTGAACTTAATAAAGTGGGCTCATTACTTTAGCCCAATTAAATGGGTTAGCCCAATGGATTAAGACTTATTTATTTTACCCATATGTATTGGACTTGTATAATTAATTCAATTATATTAGCCCATAATATTTATTTGGACTATATATTTAAAATGGTCCAAATAATTCTATTGAATTTATATTCAATAAAATTTGCATGCCTACAAATGCCCCCTTTGTAGGTTTATCGAGGTGTAGACTTATCAAATCTCAAAGGTTAGACTTGAAGTAACTGCAAAATAACCACCCTCCTTTTTATTAAAAAGAAATTGATATTTTCTTCCTTGTTATGACTTTGAGCATGCTAACAAGTTTGTAGCTTTGATTTTATGAAGCCGCAGTAGCCAAGCAAGTTTGGAACTTACGTAATGAAATTATGTTTGCATGAAACTTTTAACGTGGAATACTGCCAACGTTTTTTTTTTTTTTTTTTTTTTTTTTTTTTTNTTTTCTTTTTTTTGCGCCTTTAAATCCTTATTTGGCAAGAATTCAACTTGGCATTCTCTTATCCCTTGATGTCATCCGAATCCAAATTCTTTTGGGAGATGATATGATTCTTTTCCAAAGAATGTTACTGCCTCCATGTAGGTAACATTAATTATCATAGCTGCCTTTCAACTATCCTGAGTCCTTTTCGAAGTCATATTGTCGCAACGTCCCACATCGACCATGACTTATTAACGCCTTCTCTCCAAATCTATATAAATCCCCTGTACTCGCATTTGTTAAGTATTAATTTGTAATTTTCGCAAGCCATTTTGAGTCTAGTTTTGTGGACTCGGAAGCATCAACGCGAAAGTAATTTCTTCTTTTCTTGTTTTGTTGTCCTTTTTTTTGGTAGTTCAAGCGAGAAGGATGTGTTTTTGTTTAACAAGATGATCCACGCATGAAGAAGACAATCTTGGGGTGTGAGGGGATGAGTATTCATCCTTGCCCGAATATCGGAGAGATTACTCTCATGGCCCGACTACCGGAAAGATTACTCTCAAAATGGCCCGATTCTTGGAGAGATTACTCTCAAAATGGCCCGATTATTGGAGAGATTACTCAATGTGGCCCAATTCTTGGAGAGATTACTCTCAAAATGGCCCGATTCTTGGAGAGATTACTCTCAATGTGGCCCAATTCTTGGAGAGATTACTCTCAAAATGGCCCGATTCTTGGAGAGATTACTCTCAATGTGGCCCGATTCTTGGAGAGATTATTCTCAAAGTGGCCCGATTCTTGGAGAGATTACTCTCAATGTGGCCCAATTCTTGGAGAGATTACTCTCAAAATGACCCCATTTTTGGAGAGATTACTCTCAATGTGGCCCAATTCTTGGAGAGATTACTCTCAAAATGACCCCATTTTTGGAGAGATTACTCTCAATGTGGCCCAATTCTTGGAGAAATTACTCTCAAAGTGGCCCCATTTTTGGAGAGATTACTCTCAATGTGGCCCAATTCTTGGAGAGATTACTCTCAAAGTGGCCGGACAACCGGAGAGATTACTCTCAATGTGGCCCAAACTATCGGCAAAGCCAACTTAAGGTGCAAAGGGACTCATATGTCCACCTTAAGATTGGAAAGTTATAGTTCCTTTTAAGGACAAACCCACGAAGAGGCCTACTTAAGGTGCAAAGGGACTTATATGTCCACCTTAAGATTGGAAAGTTATAGTTCCTTTTAAGGACAAACCCACGAAGAGGCCTACTTAAGGTGCAAAGGGACTTATATGTCCACCTTAAGATTGGAGAGTTATAGTTCCTTTTTAAGGACAAACTCACGAAGAGGCCAACTTAAGATGCAAAGGGACTTATATGTCCACCTTAAGATTGGAAAGTTATAAAGCTTCAACTTGAAGACGACATCGACTTGAACACTTGAAAAACTTTGAAGATTTGACGGACTATGCAGACTTCAACTCGAAGATTCAGAGGGCTTAAATAATTCAACTTTAAGATCGGCGAATTTGAAGACTTCAACTTGAAGACCGACGAACTTGAAGACTTCAACTTGAAGACCGACGAACTTGAAGACTTCAACTTGGGGGGTTAAATATTTCAACTTTAAGACCGGCGAATTTGAAGACTGCAACTTGAAGACTGACAGACTTGAAGACTTCAACTTGAGGGCCTAAATATTTCAACTTGAAGATCGGCGAATTTGAAGACTTAAACTTGAAGACCGACGGAGTTGAAGATTTCAACTTGGGGACTTCAACTTGAGTACCGACGAACTTGAAGATATCAATTTACCATGGAGGGTTGCCCCTTTTAAATCAAATGGGATCAAAGTTCCACAAGAGGATGACATTTCAGCTTGATTTTGCATTCCTCCATACTTCACTCGGACAACAATTGGGGCAATATGTATCTTTTGAACTTGTGCGACTGAACTTAGAATGAAACTCTAAGTTGCCTACGTACCTCGGTGAAAAGGATCAAGTCATTCCGTAGTTCAGACTGGGTGATTTTTTTTATGTCCTAACTTTTGCCTAGACCGCCTCTTTCGAAGTTTTCAACCTAGCGGACTCTTTTTTTTATGTCCTAACTTTTGCCTAGGCCACCTCTTTCGACATTTTTAACCTAGCGGACTTTTTTTTTGGGCCGTACACAGTTTATACTCTTGCGGGCTAGGAGTGTAGCAACATGCAGTTT